CCTGCCACTGGCCAACCCCAGGACCTAAAAAAAGCACAGAAAACTTTATTATCCTGCACCAGAAGCAACAAAAGACCCCCCCAACTCCCACAGTCGGAGGCGAGCCTGCCCGAGACAATAGGGAGAGCAACGACCCGGATGCGACTCTGACAAGAAGGAAGTGAAAACCACGAGCTAAAAGCAGCGGGGAGAGCGGCAGAAGCCGAGAGCGCCTGCGCCAACGCTCCCTCTCCCCCCCCCCCCCCCCCCCCCCGGAGGGAGCCGAGTTAAACCGAGTGGAGCCGAGTGACTTCCAGAGAGGTCACCAGCAGCCCCCAAAGCCCCGCCCATAACCTGTGGAAAACTAGACTTTCTCTGAAACCACCCGTCTATCTCCTTCCAGTCGTGGAAGATCAGTTACTGATTCTGGTTTATGTTTTTTGTTTTTTGTTTTTTTAAGATTTTAAATTTTTCATAAAAGGACGTTTGCTATCTTAAAGGGCTATTAAAAGCCATAACTGATACCTACACCCACCACCACCACCACCACCTACTGTTTTCTTGAACTGCTTTTCCTTAAATAGGAATGCGCAAAAATGTGTTTTCTGCCAAAGGTTCATGAGAGAGAATGTTATCTCAGACACAAGGGAGTTTGGGTTTTGCTTGTTGTTTTATAAGTAAGATGCTGACATTGACTAATTCTTTTCATATGTCCAGCTATTCCTCTCTCCTGAAGACAAACTGCCCTGCCTATTACTCAGCCTCGTCTCCACCAGATCCTATAAATAAGTCTTCCAAGCTACAGGGGACACTATATTTAATAAGTGAGATATGCCCCCACGCATATATGTAGCAATTGTAATACCGAGCCAATAGGGTAAATTCTGAACAAGAATTCCTTTACAGAAGCTGTGACTGCTTTGGATAATTGATTATAACTGCAGTGATCTGGAGAGATTGGGAAGTTATAATTCCAGTTGATTACTAACTTTCCTGGTCTATGGTTGGTCTACTAAATAGCCTTTCCTTTCCCACCGCCATGTCAGATCTAACAATGTGTGACTAACAGATAAAATTCATTTTGGAGTGGGCTAACCAAACAAAACACTGGTTTTTCCACCAATCAAGGAGCTAAGAATGCTATTAGATAACATCCAAGGCATATATAGCAGAGTTCTCTCCATCTTGCCATAACTGATACACCCACCAAAGTATTTGAAAATTGTCTTGGTTTATAGCCTTCTTCTATTACAAAAACAAACAAAAAAGCACTCATGAAATCACTGGCTCATTGGAACATGGTTATGTGGAAGGATCTAAATCTATGTACCTAGCCATGGTCACTGATATTGAGTACCAGAACTATCTCTTGTCCTCTCTGAGGTGAGAGCTATGTTTTTGCATGACCATTAAATATAAAAGTTACATTGGACTTGAATTAATTGCTGTTTTGAAAAGTATTAAACTCACAGAGAAAAATTTATCCATTTAACTGTATTAAATCTGTGTAAATTAAAACTTACTTGGAGATTTTACTCCTCAGAATGGCCAAGATGAATAAACCAAATGACAACATATACTAGTAAGGACGTGGAGAAAAGGGAATACTTAGTCACTGATGGTAGGAGTAAAAACTGGTACAGCTATTATGAAAATCAGGGTGCAGGTTCCTCCAGAGGCTGAAAATCCATCTACCCCAAGATCAAGCTATACCACTCTTGGGCATATACCCAAATGATGCTTTATCCTACCACAGAGATATTTGCTCATCCATGTTCATTGCTACTCTATTCATAACAGCCAGAAATGAAAATCATTATAGATGTCCATAAACTGATGACTAGATAAAGAAAATGTGTTTCATTAATGCAATGGAATATTATTCATCAGTTAAGAAAAATGAAATTTGTAACTGGGGAGAGAGCTCTGCAGTTAAGAGCTGTTCTCTTCCAAAGGACCCAGGTTCAATTCCCAGCACCTACAAGGCAGGTCACAAACTCTCTGTAACTCCAGTTCCAGGGGATCTGACAATCTCACACAGATATACATGCAGGCAAAACACCAATTCACGTAAAAAATAAAATGAAAAGATTTTTAAGAAGAAAGAAAAATGGGGCTAGAGAGACGGCTCAGTGGTTAAGAACACTAGCTGGTCTTCCAGAGGTCCTGAGTTGAATTCCAAGCAACCACATGGTGGCTCACAACCATCTATAATGAGATCTGGTGCCCTCTTCTGGCTGCAGTGATACATGCAGACAGAACACTGTATACATAATAAATACATAAATTTAAAAAGAAAGAAAGGAAGAAAGAAAGGTGAAATTTCCAGGTAAACGGATGGAGTTAGGAAAAAAATCATCCTGAATGGTGTAACCCAGACCCAAAAAGGGAAATATTGTAATTTCCAATGTTAGGAATGTAAGTTAAAAAACTATTTTCTTGTAACTCAGACACCATTTTGTGTAAGTTAAAAAAACATTTTATATGACTTGAAAGAGTATGATTTCTGAGTTTGCCACCAGGCAGCTCTGATGGGAACTAGGCCTCAAAAGCAAGCTCCTGGCTCAGACAGGAGGCAATCCCAGGACAGACCTTGACATGCTAATGAACTGATCCCAAGGTGGTCTTGAAGTGCTGGTGAACCAGCCCCAAACTGTGATCACAAAACTACTGCCCAAAGAAATGTTACAAAGATTTCAACTTTGGATGCCAAGTGTGGCCCTGACTTTGGTCACAGATAAACTTCCTGGCACTGTTGCAGGGCCCACAGGCCCTCATGTCATTGCTAGTTGCTGACCACCACTGTTAGGACTTCCTGGACCTTCATCAGTGCCATCTTTCCAGCCTGCCAAGGTTGAAGTCCTTCAAAGAGGACATGGGTCAATTATTCGAGTTTCCAAAGCTATCTCACCTAAGAGGATTCCCCAGTGAGCCAAGCAGAAGCATTTCTTCCCAAACAACTTTCCCTGCTTAGTGAGATGTTTGTTTAACTTTTGTATTAGCATGTTATATGGAATGTTAGTATGAATAAACCACATATATTTGAAAGACAAATCTGGTGTAGAGATCCTAATTGCTAAGTCCTTCAGCCAATAGCCCATGCTTTCTTCAGTGTAGATGTCACTTTTGAAATGTATGCTACAATCCAAATAACCACAGAGGTTCCTTACATAGTAAGGGATGGGGTGAGTGGGGGGGGCTCCCGGGGAAGGGTAAATAAAATACTGTGTTATGAAGAGACAAAAGGGAAGGTAGACTGGGAAAATTAAATGAGGAGACGATGGGAGAGACAGATAAAGGGGGCAATATGGAGAGGACAACTAACGCTAAAGGCCTTTTGAAAAAAGCATATGGAAACCTGTTCACTCTGGAGGTAGTGAAACCTGGGAGAACGGAGCCTAAAAGTGAGGTGGACTAAAGTCTCATGCAATAGCCAACCTGATTCAGAGCATCGGGCAATGCATATTGTGAGGTTTAAGAAGCAAGCACATGAGTAAAGTGTACAATCACAAGGACCATCCACACATGTTTTCCCACAGAGGCATGAAAACGTACAATAGGCAGTTGTTATGAGTAATCTGAAGAAAACTCACTCCTATCCACTACACGTGGGAGGAGCCCGAAAACAAATTCCAAGAACAATTCCATGTTATTGAAGAAACTAAGGCCACAAGTTTCTTGTCTCTTTGTTTTTAGAGTATTCTCACAGGCACTCAGAATTCTCCTCATACAACTCCATTTTTGGTCTGTGCTATGATAGAAACCTACTACTGTAGAAGTTCCCTAAAGTGTATACAATATATAAAAAAAAAAAAGTTTAAAGAGAGTCACCATATACTGAGGAAGACAGTGCCCCCCTAGATATCTTATCCCACCAAGTAAAAGTTTAGTGCTGGGAATGGGTTACAGCTTGTTGAGTCATGGCCAAAGGGGTCCCACTGAACCCTTAGACTATCACTTGACCTCTACAACCTGATGCTAAGTCTCTATTGCTAAGGACACTATTTGCTTCTATCATTAAGCAGAGAGACATCAAGCTGGTGTACAGCTAGAAGCTTCATGCCTGATGACTAGTGTTCATGGTACTAGAAGGTGCTCTGCACAATACCAGAGGAGAATGGCAATTATCAATATCACCCAGTTACAAACACTGTGATCTACAATAGCAACCTGCCTGTAAGATACACTTGGCAATAGTGCCAGGAAGGTTATGGGAGTAAACAATCACTTTTTGATTGGAAGACATTCCACAAAAATAAACCACAGCACTCAGTATTATTAAGAGAAAAACAAAACCAAAAAAAAAAAACCATAAAGAATACAACCAAAGCAAAATGACTCTCACAAGTATGCTGTGAATGTGTTTGTCTTTGTTTTTTTGAGGACCTGTCTTGTCAGTAAGTAGTCCAGCCAGATCGTGAAGTTACAGTAATTATCCTGCCACAACCTCTTAAGTACAAGGATTACAAGAGTGTGCCACCATGCCCAGTTTGGGAAGGTTTCAAGGCTGTGTGTGTGTATACACCAATAGGAAGTAGGATGTGGTGTCTAATTATGAAAATTGTTTAAGATTATTTTTAAGCTCATTGAAAATTAGGGAAATATGTACTAGATGCAACAATTATTCAACAAATTCAGAAGCCACATTCTATTATAAAGAAGCTATTAAAATATTAGTATCTGAAGCAGTCTTAACAGTTTTTAACCCGCTCTTATATTGAGATTAGACAAAGGTTTGAATGAAACTTATTAGATTCATTCATTTATTCCACAAGTGTATGTTGAATGGCGGTATGTGTAGCATGGGAAGTGAAATGTTTTTGAAAAACTGCAAATTAAATCACAGGATGCAAGGAGAAGCTCTTTAAAGAAACTTTTACTAAAACATATACAGCAATTTAGGGGATATGTACCTTATGAATGACTATTGTCTTTTCCCTTCTAGAGCTTAAGATACAGTTAAAGATACAATCAGGCAAATTACTGTTTGTTACTCTGGGCAACCAGAGAAAGAATACACATGCTAGGAGAGGAGGAAACACAAAGGCAAAGCATTCTAGAGGAATTTCTATTTCTATTCAGATACAAAAATTTACATATGCATCTAAACTGGGTGAGGTTAGGAGTAAAGGAAGACAGAC